GTTTGGGTCATATATATGAAAAAATGGTCAAAATGAGCAAAAAACACTTTCTGCTAGCACTCCTCTGTGATTCTAGTAGTGTCATAGCGCTAAGCTAATGGCAATTCACATTAACATTTTTTGGCCATTTTAGATTAAATACAGATGTTTGAAGCTAATAAAAGACATTCTATGCTCTGTTTTGAAGCTGGTAAAGGACATTATCATATATCTTAGCAGTTTTACAGTGAATCTTTTTCAGAGGGAAACCTTCAGGGCTTTCTAGGCCTTCACAGAAGGCTTAATGGTTTCTGGGAAGTAAAAACTGTATCTGTAATTCTAAGTTCATTTTTATTTAATGGAATCATGATTGTATTTAAACTCTGCAAGTATTACAGTAGAACTCCTGTTTCATTGTTAAGTTTTGGATGGAAAGGTTAAATTCTTGAAGCACCCAGTGGAAAATTGGCAGATCAGAAATTGTTTACTGGACTTGGTATCTATAGATATAGCTATAGATATAGAAGAGAAGTCCTAACATGACCATCAGCATAATTCAGGAGTGACAGAGGAATCAACCAATCACCTTTTGATTTATAATATTTGGGGCCAATTTTGCAAAAAAAGCCATCTAGGTGTTCTGAAAGTTCTAGATAGATCACTGACTGTGAAAAGGCGGGGCAGCCTAATCAGAGAGTTGTCAGAAATGGAAAACAGTGGTGGCTGCTCTATACCAGAGCTCTATACCATCTACAGCATCTCTATACCAGATATGCTAGTATGCCTGTCACAATCTTAAAGTAAGACATGGGATGTCTTTAACAAGCTTCAAATGTCCATGTTCAATCTAGAAGGACCGAAAAAGGTTCATATGAGTTGCTGTTAGCTTAGCGCAAACTACTGGAATCTCATAGGGATGCTAGCAGAAGTTAGCATTATAGTAGAAGTGGGTTTTTATCCTCATGTTTTGATCGAGTTTTGAGATTTATGGCCTGAATTGAAGGCCTAGCTCAGGGGTCGGCAACCCGAATGTTAAGAAGAGACATTCTGTCCTTTCAACAGAAATCTAACCACCCTGAGAGCCACAACAATTTATGTCCATTTTATCATCTTGGCTAAAAATATAATATAAACAAAAACGCAGACTTACTCTGCTCTGCTTTTAGCTTTGGCTCAGCTATAGCTGCTTCTCTCGCATCTCCAGCAGGAAACTTTTCCTCAAAACCAGAACAGTTTCTTGTAAAAAGTCTCTCAATGTTAGATTTTTTAATGAGGCTGAAGTCGCTTCTCATTCACCTGATTCTTATTCGAATTTTCCCGTACCACCTTAAATGAGAGTGAAAGAATGTAACTGCTGCGCCATTTAAGGTGGAACGGGGAAATTCGAACGAGAAGCTGACTTCCGCTTTTAGTATTTGACAGTTTCTCGTCGCAACCGGAAACCAGTTGAGCTATAAACATATAAGTACAAATAGAACAAATAGGTCCATTCGTCTCCAAATTGTTGATGTTTGTCTTAAATCTTTCTCTTTGCCTTTTTGTTAGCAACTAGCTAGGTGAGATTGTTGTCTGCGCTGCTGCATTGCTGTCTGACCAGTCTGTGTGCCTTTCAAGGTCAAAAGTGGGTGAATTAGCAATTATAGGCTACATTAACTCCAGTGTTCAGGACCATTTATTCCTAAGACTGTGTTAGAACAATAAAATAAAATAATCCTCCTTTACTGCAAAGGAGGATTATTTTATTTTTACCTACAAATCTAATTCTGCTGTGGCACTGCAAAAGGGCACCGGAGCTCCGGAGCCACATGATGCCGACCCCTGGCTTAGCTCTAGTAGTCATGGTGCACCACTGCTTATAGTAAACAGCCCCAGCATAGAGCTGCTTGGCTAAGCCCTGCTGCACAGTGTACACTTGTTTTCCCAAAAAATGTTATTAATAATACAAGCTATGTACTTTTTGACCAGCCAAAAACCTCGAAATGATCCTGCAGTGGTTGAGATTAATTCAGTACAGTTTTTTTGTGGACCCAGAGGTGGGAGCTACTTAGGTCAATGTTAAAAAGAGGAGATTCTCTTATCCTCCTTTTCTGCTTTACATAACAGCGCTATCTAATATGAAACATGCCATCTCTCTGCTGGGTCCCTGGAGAGCGTGGCCCTGGTGTTTAGGGGTTATATTTAAACTGATAGAAGGACCGCTGGCAGGGATGCAGCAGAACACACAGCAAAAATCCGAGTCATCCTCCTCAATAATGCAGGAACACACATGTGACTGGCACATGGCCATGCATATTAAAGCAGAGCAGCTCACCAGGCAGCAACACACACACCATCTCTCCCTCAGACACTCCTGAGGAGCAGAGAGTTCATGGTGGTCGGTGGGTGGGATTTGAGTGCTCCTTGCTCGGTGTGTGTCTCCATTCCCAGTTTCAAACATCTGCAGGAGTAAATGACACTCCAGTAGCTCTAATTTATTTAGAGAAGAGCCACTAAAGGGCATCATTCGGTTAGTTTTTAATGCCCAACTGACAAACAGCAGTTCCTTCATATTATTCTTTCACCCCCCATATTATTCTGTGATGAACTCCTAATAAAATCCAACGTCACTATTGAGACAAAGGCTAACTACACATTATATAACCAAAAAAAAAGACATTTATAAGGAGGGGCTTTTATTATTCACGTCCCAGCAGGCTGCTATTCTTGAACTTGGGCTATTCATGGTACAGTCTTGAATTCTTCATCTGCAGATAAAATGTGATGAACGTCTTTCAATAATTCGTGGTGGACAATTATATTTCTTGGCGCTTTGTCGCCCCCTAGCGTCCAAAACTGTAATAGACGGGCAGAGATCAGGTAGTGTAGAAGGGGAATATCATAGCTTGATTTAAATATTGGAACATTATATCATAACTGATATAATGGAGGATTTTTGATAGATTCATTATATATATATATATATATATATATATATATATGTTATCTTTTAGTGTCAAACAAGTGGACCAAGGGCTACTGTGTTTACTATGACCTGCATTCTCTTCCCTTAATTAAAGTGAAACGTTGCTGCGGAGGAGGCCATTAAATTCCCTTGACAAGACAGACTTTCACGCATTGATTTTATTCTCCAGAGTACTGGACAGTTTATATGTATGGAAGCCCATTCCCACCAGGCAGAGGAGAAAAATGGCCTTCTCTGTTTCGGGCAGCACTATATCCAAATATTGACTTTCGGAATAATGAATTATTTTCTCACAATATTGACTAACTAGGTCGAAGTAACGACTTACTATAGCAGGATATTGACGAAGTATCTCATAATAATTACTTTCTCAAAATATATACTTGCTATGTCGAAACAATGACTTATTTTCTCAAAATACTTAATATGTTGAAATAGTGACTTAATATGTCACATATGAGACACTAAGTCAGTATTCTGATATAGTAAGTCATTGTATTGACATAGTAAATCAATACAATATCCAAAAATATCCAGTTGACAGCGTCCTGTGGGCAGCGTCCTGTGGGCAGCGTCCTGTGACCACTGATGAAGAACTAGAAGATGACCAACACAAACTGTGCAGCAGCAGATGAGCTATCGTCTCTGACTTTACATCTACAAGGTGGACCGACAAGGTAGGAGTGTCCAATAGAGTGGACAGTGAGTGGACATAGTGTTTAAAAACTCCAGCAGCACTGCTGTGTCTGATCCACTCGTAATTATCTCATTCCCACGCCTTACTAAGCCATGGCCACCCAATATTGTTATTTATGTGGGATGTCACCAGCAGGACTCCGTGCTGAGATAATTATCTCAAGATAATTAATTTGAGGAAAAAAAAAGGTCATTTCTTAGACAGGAGCGTTTTTTTAACCCGTTATAGAGAAATGTAATGTCATTTTTTCCCCCATGTCTTTTAAGGGGCTCTGTAGAAAAGAAATACATGGGCTCTTTTTTTAAGATCTGAGATACATTTCAAAAACATTGTTTCATTAAAGTAGAAGGACTAAAGTAGAAGGACTAAAGTAGACTAAACAAAAAGTATTTTGGCCATTTTCACACACTTTCAAATGCATTTGATAAATACACTGTGTATGTACACCGATCAGGCATAACATTATGACCACCTCCTTGTTTCTACACTCATTGTCCATTTTATCAGCACCACTTACTATATAGGTGCACTTTGTAGTTCTACAATTACAGACTGTAGTCCATCTGTTTCTCTGCATACTTTGTTAGCCCACTTTTAGCTTGTTCTTCAGTGGTCAGGACCCCCATGGACCCTCACAGAGCAGGTACTATTTGGGTGGTGGACCATTCTCAGCACTGCAGTAACACTGACGTGGTGGTGGTGTGTTAGTATGTGTTGTGCTGGTCTGAGTGGATCAGTCACAGCAGTGCTGCTGGAGTTTTTAAGCACCTCAGTGTCACTGCTGGACTGAGAATAGTCCACCAACCAAAAATACCCAGCCATCAGAGTCCTGTGGGCAGCGTCCTGTGACCACTGATGAAGGACTAGAGGATGACCAACACAAACTGTGCAGCAGCAGATGAACTATCGTCTCTGACTTTACATCTACAAGGTGGACCGACGAGGTAGGAGTGTCTAATAGAGTGGACAGTGAGTGTTTAAAAACTCAAGCAGCACTGCTGTGTCTGATCCACTCGTACCAGCACAACACACACTAACACACCACCACCACCACGTCAGTGTTACTGCAGTGCTGAGAATGATCCACCACCCAAATAGTACCTGCTCTGTGGAGGTCCATGGGGGTCCTGAGCACTGAAGAACAGGGTAAAAGGGGGCTAACAAAGTATGCAGAGAAACAGATGGACAACAGTCTGTAACTGTAGAACTACGAAGTGCACCTATATAGTAAGTGGAGCTGATAAAATGGACAATGAGCGTAAAAACAAGGAGGTGGTCATAATGTTATGAAATAAACATTATTTGTTTAATAAAAAAGCTTTTGTCCCTTTAAACAGCCTTCTCCGCTCTCTGCGCCTTAATATGACGTCACGTGTAGCCGCACTGAGCCACACGTGTAGCTTTAGCTGCTTACCGGCTAAAGTACAGGGAGAAGCTCGCCGTGTGGCTGTTTAGGCTGACTCTGATGGACAACAGAGCTTCATGACACTGAAAGGTAAAACCCTCGCTTTTCTAATCTGACCTGAGAGTCATTCAGGCTATTCAGAGTCTCGAATAGCTGCACGAGACTGATGTTCATGTTGTCAGCTTCTGGGTCTAATTTTCCGTTCCACCTTAAATGGTGCAGCGGTTATATTCTGGCGCTTGAGGCAAAATTAACAACTGAAACTTAATGACAGTTTATCCAAAACATAGTGCACAGTGTACTCCAGGTGTAGTCTTGGGTGACCAACATGGTGGTGTCTGAATTTTGCTTGCTACGTTTTTAAATTTAGTGTTGCTTTTCAGCTACGAGTCTAATGTAGGGTTAGCTACGAAGCGGCCCTGGTTGAGGCCAGAAGTTTACATACGCTTAGGCTAACTCGGTTTTTCACAGCCCCACACGTTTGGTGTTGCCATACATTCGCTGTCTTTCGTCAGTTAGGATACCGTCGTTGTAGGAAGAAAACGTTGTATGTCCTAAATGATAACCTAACAGGAGAAGGTAAAAACCTACTTTACTTTTAGTGTAAGTCAGTGGAACCAGACGTTTTCAACAAGTAATTGTGGGCCGTTTCTTTAGTTCATTTATCGTGAAATTCACTCACAATGTAAAGGACAACAGGCATTTTCAAATTACGACAAAAACTGATATACGATGTTTTGTTCCGACAGCAGCGATATATACCATATTTTTTGATTTGTCATTAAAGGTGATGAATGTAATAGGACATATTTATTTAAGGTGTTACTTTCTATATCAGATTTCCAGGGGTTCAGAAGTTTACATGCACCGAGTTGACGGTCTCTCTAAACGTTCTGGAAGATTCCAGAATTTGATGCAATGATTAAACGAGTGAAACTTTAAAAAGAGTGAGACTTTTAATCCAAGGAGCACCATTTGTTCAAAGTTATTGACAAAATGGCTGTTATTTTTGTATATATATATATATATATATATATATATATATATATATATGTGTATATGTAATATAAATAACAGGTTTATAAATCAAGCACTTCAACATACAATCAACTGCAATTGCTATTACTATGAAAAGGAAACATCTAGGAGCAACAGTAACTCAGCCATGAAGCAGTAGACCACCCAGACTCGCAGAGTGGGACCGCTGTGTAGCCTGTTGCATCACTACAGAGTTCAAGAGTTGTTCATCAGAAGCATCATGATATGGGGAAAAAGGCTTAAGATCACTATGCACAGTGCCCGCTGCAGTGGTGTAAAGTACGCTGCCACCGGACTCTAGAGCAGTGGAAAGATGTCTCCGAGTTGATGAACCACGCTTCCCTATCTGGCTGCCTGATGGAAGAATCTGGGTTTGGCAGATGCCAGGAGAACAATACCTACTGGAATGCATAGTAAAGTTTGATGGAGGAAAGATGATGAACTGGGGCCATTTTTCAAATTTTGGGCCTCTTATTTTCAGTGAAGCTTCATTATAATACTTTAGCATACAGATACATTTTAGATCATTATTTGCTTCCACGTTTAGGGAAGAGCCTTTCTTGTTGCAGCATGACTGCCCCCGTGTACAAAGCGAGATCCAAAGACCTGGTTTGCCGTATTTGGTGTGGAGAAACTCCAGCGGTCTGCACAGAGCCCTGACCTCAACCCCACTGGACACCTCTGGCATGAATTAGAGTGTTGCTTGTGAGCCAGGCATACTTGCCCAACATCATTGCCTGACCTCACACATGCTCTTTTGATTAAGTGGGCACAAATTCCTGCAGACCCTCTGCAAAATCTTGTGGAGAGCCTTGTTTGAACAGTGGAAGCTGTTAGAGCCACAAAGGGGACCAACTCCTTATTATTGGCCATGGATTTGAAATGAAATGTCCAGAAAGCTCATGTAGTTGTGATGGTCAGGTGTCCACATACCCAATGAGTATGAAAGATATGAAATCAATTTCTATGTTAAACATGTGTTTAATGGTATCGACGCTTGCAGATATGTGTGTCTGCATCGGCCCACAGTTCCCATATCTGTGCATCTCTGACTTGCCCCTTTTCCTTTAACTTAGTTTAGTCAGCCTAGTCTTAAAGGTCCCAGCAACGTACATACACAGTAAGTGCGTTTACATGCACTTAATAATCTGACAACTGCAGAAATCCGATCAACGCATTAAAATCAACTTGGGTGATCAGATAATGAGAACACCACGTCTGCAGTAATTGGATTTCTGCTTTGCAACCGGCCAACAAACTCACAGAAGAAGATGTGATGTATGTAATATAAAACTCAAACTTCATGCCGTGGAATTTGTTTTAAAACATCGTGCCATTTTACCTGAAAATATGAACATGCATCATCTAGAGGATGAAGAAAATTTAAATCCTTAATTTCATCAAGCATTAGTTTCAGCATCGCTCCAAAAGTGCTTTGCAGCCATCTTGCAGCAAGGCTGCTTATTTCCGGTACCGCTGTCTGTTTTTGCACATGTGCAGACGGAGAAATCAGAAAGAAATCAGAATAGGAGTTCACATGCACTGAGAAGTCAGATTACTGAGCTAAAATCCAGCTCTCTTTATCAGATTCCTTCATCAGATTTCTAGACCTTACTCCGATCTAGGAAATCGGAGCATGCTGTTTACTTGACCATTTCAATAATCAGGTAACTGCAGAAATCCGAGTATGATTGGATTATTGACCGCATGTAAACACACTCACTGACGTCCTAAGAAATCTGTATTAACTGCAGGGCTAAACGTGACCTTAAAGTGATTGTATGTGTGAATTTTTATATGTGCTTTTAAAACAGATTGTGGTGTTTTTTCTTCCGCAGCTGTCTAAAGTCATGGCAGATAGAGAAGAAAACCTTGTTGAAATGGATGAAGGCACAAATGGCACAGATGAAGACGTGGAATTGGAAGAACAGGCAGATGGACTTGAACAGGACGAACTTGAAGGTGGTGACCTGGAGGAGGAGGATGATGGTGATGACGATGAAGACGGAGAACAGTTAGATGATGACGAGGCGAAAAAGACCAAGGCCAAAAAATGCGTCCCAGGCATCGTGTACTTGGGCCACATTCCTCCGAGGCTGCGGCCCAAACATGTGCGGAACATGCTGGGTGTGTTCGGAGAGATTGGAAGGGTCTTCCTCCAGTCTGAAGGTGAGATTTCAGAGGAATAGCAGAATAGAGTGATGTTGAAATGCAGTGGAACAGTTTTCTGTTTGAGTAAGTGATGTTTGTGTGGTCTTTGGCCACTTAGTGTGTAAATGTGTCAGAAGAAGTCCATATATTAGGGAGGGTTGGGGGATATGATAAAAATGTAATATGAAGGTACTTGAAGACGTTTTCACACTAAGAGATGCACTGATTATAAATTTATATGGCTAATTCTGATTTCTTTATAGCCAATTTGGTTGATGGCTGTTTTTTTTGCCAATTTTTAACTTTTTAATCTGAAGCTCACACTGTGTGGTCTAAATTTACACACACTAGCACATTTCAAGCACTTTTTATTAGCCTTTCTATTTAGCACAATGAGTCATGTATAATTTTACTACAGTATTTTGGTATAGGTGTAGCTTTAACATTCAAATACATTGTAAATACAGTGCCCTTAAATGCCTCACATTATTTACATCGTAAAATTGCAATACGGTTCTGCTAAAATAAAAATAATAAGTTGGCCAACTGACGGTTTCATGTTTTGAGCAAAAATCTGCTGATTTTGGCCGACTCCGATTGTGCATCTCAGATTTTTACAATACGTGATATGTATCATGATATTTTGTTTTTCTGAGGTTTTAGAAATTGGAACTAATAATGGTTTCAGATTGGCCAAAACCGAAATTCAGGCCACACTCAACCTAAAAACCAAATTTGCTTTTTTATTTATGCTTTTAAATTACCATAATCAGTATAGAAAAACTACAAAGTGATGAAGGAAAACACTTTTATTATTGATAAAATCAGTCCTTACAGTAAGACAAAACTGAGCTAACAACAAAATAAAAACTCTTTTTATTGTTAACCATCTTTCTAAAATTAGCCAATTACAGAAATCCAGCGTTTATGACAACAGAGAATGGTTGGCCATACAAGGTCTGGCTCTATGTTTTGGTCTCAAATGTAAAGTTGGCATTACACTGATGAAGATCTGATGGCACTAGTAGATAATTCACATCCTTAGAAACCACATCCTTCACCACCTTTTGGCTGAGTTCTCTTTGCGTTCTCTTTCGGTGCACGTTGTATGCAATTTCACATTTTCACCAGAGAGGTCTGCAAATCCCAAAACCTTGGGCTCACACTTTTGACTTTTTTTAGCCCAAATTTTTTGGTTGTTGAAATTTCAGTGCATGCCTAGTTGGAACAGATGAAAAGCATCAACAGTGGATTTTACAAGTACAGTGATTTGTGTTCAGCATTTCACTGCCCTAAATCTAATTACATAGTACTAATTATGTGGTCTTTGTAGTGAAACACACAGTTGTTCAATGTTCTTTAAATACTGACGATGTCCATGATATGCCAAGAAAAGCATATGGTGATAAATTATATCACTATAATGATATCTTCATATTCTCCACTCGTGATCACACAAAATACTATGTTTGTTTAAGGTAGGCACATAATTATAACACTGCCTATTGTGCCTGAATGAAACTTTGTTTTGAGTTTGTGGCATTTTTGGCAGACTGATAATTTGAGCTGTTCTGCATGTTTCAAGCCATTAATGACAGTGTTTTGTTCTAGATCACTCCATCAAAAAGAAGAAGAGGAAAGCAGGCAGCAATGGATCGAGGTTCGTGGAGGGCTGGGTGGAGTTCAGGGACAAACGCATCGCTAAGAGAGTAGCAGCCACTCTGCACAACACACCCATAGGCACCCGCAAGAGGAGCCCCTTCAGCAGTGACCTGTGGTCCATAAAAGTATGTAACATCAGAAATGACGTTTACTCTTTATTTTACCTTTGTGTCCTTGTTTTGACCACCACCTGCCCACTTTGGCACAGAGGAGCTGCTAAGAAGGAACCAGGCTGCACTTTTTTTTCTGAGTTCTTGGCTGAATTGGTGAGAGTTTCTCATAGTGTCAGGGGGCCAAAGGATACTGGCTCTAAAGTTAGACCCTTAAATACAGCAACTAAATGCAGGTGCACTTTCAGTTATCTCCTAATTATGACCGTTGACCACACAGAAGCGTCTAAAAATGACATCAGTTTCTGGAATCATCCAGACTGCTTAAAGAGAGATTCATCTTGTTGTGTGTAAACATTTGTCCCACTAGTAACTGGATGTAGTGAATTAAAGCTCAAATAAATCTGTTTGTAATTGTTTGCTTTAAAATGACCTCAGATGTAAACAAATTAGGTACTTTAAATGACCAGCCAAAAGGAATGTAGCAACATGAAATGTGTGGAGTTTTGGCCCCAACTGTAGGAACAGTATAGTGTTCAGAATTCTTGTTATATGGTATAATCTACACTAAAAGTCTACACTAAAAACAGCAAGCTGTAGCAGCAGCACTGCCTTAACACAAAGTTTGATAAGGTTCTAGAGTCTGATAGACTGATTAGGGAAATAACTGAGGAGTCCCCTCATTCAAAACGCCTTTCATACAGTTAATAGCTGGTTGATATGCTAACATGTCCTCTACGCTGAGTTTACTTAATTTGTAAACTGAATAAAAACATCTGCTGGTTATATTAACGTATCCACTACTGGAAAAACAAATGTGGACAAAAAAAGACTCTGTGCTTTGTCAACAAAGCTTGCGCTAGCTGTGTCCGCACCCATTGCTGACTCAGGCTTTCAACTGACATTATACTATACACAACTTATGTAATCTCCATAGAAAAGCATTGATCAGTAGAATGGGACGATCTGATGCAGCCATGTACGTGTCACCCAGGACCAAACGTCAGCTAGAGGGGTTCAAAACCACTAAAGCAGTGGGCTGTGGAGTAGTTAAGCTGCGTTCTTTGGATTGATGGAGCTCCATCCAGTACCTTTGGGATGAATTTGTGATCCAAAACTGATCATCCAACATCAGTACCTGACCTCACTAATGCTCTTGTGGCTGAATGCAGTCAAATTCTCACAGCAGTGTTCTAACAATTAGTGTAAAGCCTTCCCAGAAGAGTAGAGGCTGTTACTGCAGCAAAACTCCATATCAATACCCTTGATTTTAGAAGAAATGTTGGATGAGTGGACGTATAGGCCAGTTTCCCAGACAGGAATTAAGCCTAGTCCTGAACTGTATTTTCCTTTCAAAGGAAAATCTCCATTTAAAATGTAGTTTAGTCCAGGATTAGGCTTAGGCTGTCCGGGAAGGCGGCCCAAAGTATACCTCTGCTTTTTACTTCATAAGTGACCACTGTGATGTTTATTTTTTTCTTGCTGCAGTACCTGCACAGGTTCCAGTGGTGCCACCTGAGTGAGAGACTCGCGTATGAGCAGATGGTCTATCACCAGCGCATGAGGACCGAAATCTCACAGGCCAAGCGCGAGACCAACTTCTACCTGGCCAGCGTGGAGAAGAGCCAGACTCTGGACAGACTGAGGGAGAAGAAGAAGATGAAGGGCGAGGCCTTTGACGAGAAGAGCTGGAACTTCACACAGCGACGCACAGAAGAGGAAATGAGGCTGGACCGAATGAAGAGGAAAGGCCTGTCCAAGAAGAACCTCCAGAAAGCTCAGGAGAAGAGCAGGGCCATTCAGGAGAAAGCGCAGTCCAATGTGTCCCTGCTGGCGAAGATCTTCAGCAGTGGAAGATCTCAGGACTGAGCAGTGTTCTGGATGGTGCTTTTGCCTCAGAGTTATAACTGTGCAGATTTCGACTGATAGCTGACCGAGCGTGAGTGTATGTGTGCGGGTAACTTGAGAACTTCAAGACTTTCAGCAAAGCATGGAATAATCCAGGTCACTGGGAATGAAAACATTGACATTTCATTGACGGCTGAAAACTTTGGATCTTTTGTAATGAGATACATCAGTTATTTGTTTCTACGCAGAATGTAGTACTTAATGATTAACAACATAAATGAGCACCCCTTATTCAAGGGAACGCCGACTCTTAAGACTTATATGCTTTAAAATAGCATGTGTGTCCAGTGTCATTAAAATATGATGCATAAACTAAATAGAAATGTTCAGTTTATTATAAAAACATGACAAATAGGCAAATCCCACTGCCAGTAGCACCATCAGCTAAGTGACCAGTGTCACACTGTCATATGGTTGCACTGGACTTGGTTCTACTGTAAATAAGACAATGTTTTTTTTCTTGTGTAATGCCACAGCACATCTAAAGCTGGAAAGGCTGAATGTTTGAGTTAATTTAGATACTTTTTCCCTATTCATCGCTCAGTAGATGAGAGCGATCGTTTGTTCCTGCGACAAAAATGGCACCGTACTAGTAAAGGAATTTAGTCTGGTTTTATAATAAATAAAGTATTGTACTTGGTTTACACAGCATCTTGTAATACTGTTGGGTGTGAACATCATACTGAGACTCAGATCTTGACGGTCAGGGCTCCCTTAAAGGACTCATATCATGGAAAACCACAGTTTTCTAATTTTTGGACATAAGAGTTTGATATAGTAAGTAAACCATAGTGTATCATTAACTCCCTGGAATCAAAGCTGCAAAACAGCCTGTTTTTAATTCATTGTTTTTGTGATGTCATGAAAACCCAATGCATTTACATTTGCCTGTCAAGATCATTGTAACTCTGCCCATTTACAGTTAAGTTATAAGTAGTTTTTTTTTTTGGCTTTTTGAACAAGGCACAATACAAAGCAGCCAATCAGATTTAGAAAAAACAGCCAGTTTATCAACAAACAGCTTAATTCTAAGGGATAAAGGGGTTGGAAAATGTTTTATAACTATGTTTTTGGTATGTAAAACCACACACATCCTAAAGTGGGGGGAAAAAAACTAAAATACAAGAAAAATGTAGGACATGAGCCCTCTTAGCATGTTTTCCAACAAAACAGCATCTCTTCTTAAGAGCTACAATGCATAATCCATTTACCGCTCAAAGAAAATAGCCTGTTTCTGCTTTCCTTTTCCTACTCTAGTCATTCTGTAGTGAAATTGTTGACTCTTTGGCACCGTCAGCTCAACACGCATTCTATGAGATGACTCTGAAATCGTCATGCTCATGGTGATAGTTTTTCATAAGATATATTTCTTTTAAATATGCTTGTGTTCCCGCAACCCAGAAGGATAATCGGCTTAGAAAATGTGTGTGCGCTTATGTGTTGCACATAGAGACTGCATAAAATATTTCCAGACCAGTTCATAAAATATATTGGGTATATTTATTTGATCGGAATAACAAGTTACAGAACTTTTCACTTAAAATTTAAATGTGACGTATGTATATAAAGATTGTAAAACATTCTTTTTCTAAGTTATGCTACTGTGATGACACGGCAATCACTTATTTCAGTTGTGAGTTTCTGTGATTTTGGAAAGTAAACAGAACAAAAAAACAAAGATAATGCACATGTGGACAAAACGCAACAGAAGTAAACCATGGTTGAAACTCTTTGCATTCGCTTAACGTTGCTTTGGAAAGTTAATATGTACACACGTTAAAAACGCTGATAAATCTTACATTATATTCATGATGTCACATCTTTTTGCTTTTTTTTGTGCGTGCCAGTTCTAACACTTTTTCAAAGCTTAGTGAACTTAACAGTCTCCGTACCCTTTCTCTGACTCTTTTGGTTGTTAGATTGGTGTCTATGTAGAGCTACTGTAGGTTGTTAGAAACTTCTCCATCATTTTCTCTTTAACCCAAGAAGACTGATTTTTCCAGGCCGTCCTCCACCTTGGTGTACTCCAGGTGGGCTGGGTAGTATCGGCTCTCGTAGCGAGGGTTGTTCCTAACGTACTTGAGGTATTCTGGTGCTCCTGGACAGATGACGTTATCAGCCAACAGGACTGTGCCTTTCCTGAGCAGGCCGCACTCCTGAGGAGAAGCAGAGGAGAGAGGATTTTCATTACAGAGCCAGTTCCAGCCCTGGAGGTCTGCAGCAGTGCACCGTTTTGCTGACTAACTGAAGGTTCAGCCCTATGCTCTTAAAAAAGATAGCACTTCAAGAGTTCTTTTGAAAAGGGTTCTATATAGCACCCAAAAGGGTTCTTCTACTGTTACAAGCTTGACATCATAACAATAGAAGAACCCTTTTCAAAAAGATTGTATATACACACTTAAAACTGATTGTTCTTCAAGGGTTCTTTAGTAAAGAAAATGGTTTTATATAGAACCATTAATACTGAAAGTACCCTTTGGCATGATTAAAGGTTCTTCAGATTGATGGAGAATGTGCTGTATATGGTTCTGTATAGAACCTTTTTGAAAAGGGTTCTATATAGGACCCAAAAGTGGTGTTGTTCTATTGTTACAAGCTTGACATCGTAACAATAGAAAAACACTTTTCAAAAAAATGATGGTTCTTCATGGGTTCTTTGGTAAAGAAAATGGTTCTTTGGTAAAGAAAATAGTTTTATATAGAACCATGAACACTCAAAGAACGCTTTGCATGATTAAAAGTTTCTTCAGATTAATGGAGAATGTGCTGTGGATGGTTCTACATAGAACCTTTTTGAAAAGGGTTATATGTAGCACCCAAAAGGGTTCTTCCATTGTTACAATGTCAGGCTTATTGCAATATAAGAACCCTTTTTGGTGCTATCTAGAACCCTTTTTTCAAAAAGATTCTGTATACAACCATCTACAACAGATTCTCCATCTACCTGAAGAACCCTTTTATAATGCGAAGAACACTTTAATCATGTAAAGTGTTCTTTGATTACTAAAGAACCCTTACAGAACCATCTTTTTTAAGAGTGTAGAAGGTGTTTCTAGTACAGTGGTCAGTGAGGGTGTATTACAGGACCACCACCAGATACAACCATTATTATCTATGATAGCAGTGCTGCAGGGAGTGGAGCGCTCTTTCAGTGGAGTCTCAAATCTGAAACTAGTGAAGAAGCTCTGGATCGAGTCCACATTTCTCTTGTTTTCCAGACTCTAATATTCTCGAGCTCAGATATTCTCAGAGTCTCACCTCAAGCAGCTCAGTGTCAGGAACATAACGGTCCTTCCAGTGGTCCAAAAAGATGAAATCAAACGTCGTGATGCCAAAGCGCTCCTTCATTTTGGGGATCAAATCACCAGAGGAACCCTCCACCAGGGTGACCTGGAAAACATAACCATGCATAAAGAACCCTGCTGCTTTTCAGATCCCCTCACTGTGCTGCAAACTAGCCCTGTTCAGCCTGCAGATTCATGCTGTCAATCCATGAGACGTTTCAATCCCACATGCCGTTTCATGCTTCTTATTCAGATGCTAATTTCACATTTCCTCCACAGAGCTTTACTGCTAACAGCAGAACACACCAGATTAGAGCAGCTTTCTACTGCATAAATTCCACCACACTCGCACCACCCAGCCATGCAGCCTATCTCAGAACAAACTACTGTGCTTCAAATGAATGGGTGCTGTTTATTCTTGCTGTCATGAGATACTGTGGATCTGTTAAATTATTATTTTTAAAGAGAAGGAAAAACATTATCTACAAAAATGGATAAAATTCAGGTTTCTGAGTGGATGTTGCTATTTTTTAACTAGTTGATATACATATAGCAGTTATACAGTCAGTGCTAGAAAGCCTATTTGAGATTACTTGGCCTCAAACCAGCATTTAATGTTATTTTTCATGATATGTAATAATCTGTAATGCAGTATTGCATCTTTCAGCTTCATCAGTTGAACAGAACTGACATTTTTGTGTCCTTTTTCAGTTTTCATTCTTTACTACGGAGCCCCGCTGGTGACATCCTGTATAAATAAAAATAATGTGTGGCCACGACTTAGTAAGATGTGGGAATGAGATGATTAAGTCGTGGCCATGACTTAGTAAAGCGTGGGAACGAGATCCTAATGCGTGGCCACGACTTAGTAAGCCGTGATCTCATTCCCACGCCTTACTAAGTCATGGCCACACATTAGGATATCGTTCCCACGCATTATTTTTTATTTATACAGGATGTCACCAGCGGGGCTCCGTACATTACAGTATCCAGCATGCATTGCACAATTACTTCCTACACTTGGGATTCACTACTGTGTTCAAGAAATCCTGACTGTTAGCGCAGCCGCTAATGTAGAGGCTAATAGACACAGACGTGGTATTTGGCTTCCTAGCATTACCGTTAGCTACCTGATTTCCTTTCTGCATTACAGTAAAGTCATTTCAAACAGCCGGTCGTCGTGTTTGAGCCCTGAAGTGCTTGTACTTTTTCAGTAGTTCGTCTAACCTTCAAGATAATATCAGAAGAGGGTTTTTGTAACTTTAAACCGCAAAATCTCACTCTATACTATGGTACAGAGCCCTGTTGGTGACCCCATACAAATAAAAATAATGAGTGGCCTGGGAATGAGATAATTAAATATGAACATTCTTAAATATGAACACAATTAAATATGAACATACGTCATCTAGAAGATGAAAAATATTTAAATTAGTATGGCATGGGAACAAGATCCTAATATGTGGCCATGACTTAGTAAGGCATGGGGACAAGGCAATCAAGTCGTGGCCACGACTTAGTAAGAAAATCCTGAGAAATCTGATTACTGAGCTAAAATCCAGCCTCTTTCTAGATCTTACTCCGATCTAAGACATTGGAGTGTGCTGTTTACATGACCATTTGAATAATCAGATAACTGCAGAAATCTGATTATGATTGGATTACTGAGTGCATGTAAACGCACTCAGTGATGCAACCTTCACCTCTCATGAATTTCTCATTCTGTCTCTCTCACACATAAACACCTTGTCTTGGATTCCAGCGTAGGCTATGATCTGCTTGGCGATGGCAGCGTTGGCTGGGTTGAACTCTACAGTGATGAGTTTGGAGCCAGGGGAGAGTAGACGGGCGATTCTGACCGCTGAATAGCCGCAGTATGTGCCCAGCTCCAGCACCATGCTGGGGTTCACCTCACTGACCACTGAATCCAAAATGGAGCCTGGGTACAGCCACACACAAACACATAAGCAGCTAAGCTGAAGGGTCATTAAGGGAGGCGATCAATGATGTGCCTAATGGCCGACTCGAAACATCATTAATGGCCTTTCTGCACCAGTAACAGCCTGTCAGTTCTAAGCCATTGATGACTAATCAGTTCAATACAAATAGATCTTTGTCTGAAGGATCTCTATTTGTAGTGCAGTAGGTAGGGTGTGAAAGCCATTAGCTCATGCCCTATGTAGTGCACTATGTATAGGGAGCCGGGTACCATTTTGGACACGCCACTTAACTTCACCACTTAAAACTGAAGTGGAAAAAACAGACGAGTAATATACACTGAGCGGCCACTTCATTAAGTACACCTATCTTGTATCTACACTCAGTGTCCATTTTATCAGCTCTACTTTCTATACAGGTGCACTTCTAGTTCTACACTTACAGCCTGTAGTCAGTCTATTTCCCTGTATACTTTGTTAGCCCCCTTTCACCCTGTTCTTCAATGGTCAGGACCCCCACAGGACCACCACAGAACAGGTATTATATGGTTGGTGGATCATTCTCAGCACTGCAGTCACACTGACATGGTGGTTTGTTAGTGTGTGTCCACTCACTGTCCACTCTATTAGACACTCCTACCTTGTCAGTCCACCTTGTAGATGTAAAGTCAGAGACGATAGCTCATCTGCTGCTGCACAGTTTGTGTTGGTCATCCTCTAGTCCTTCATCAGTGGTCACAGGACGCTGCCCACAAGAAGCTGTTGGCTGGATATTTTTGGTTGGTGGACTACTTTCAGTCCAGCAGTGGCACTGAGGTGCTTAAAAACTCCAGCAGCACTGCTGTGACTGATCCACTCAGACCAGCACAACACACACTAACACACCACCACCACGTCAGTGTGACTGCAGTGCTGAGAATGGTCCACCACCCAAATAATACCTGCTCTGTGGAGGTCCTGTGAGGGTCCTGACCATTGAAGAACAGGGTGAAAGGGGGCTAACAAAGTATGCAGAGAAACAGATGGACTACAGTCTGTAACTGTAGAACTACAAAGTGCACCTATATAGTAAGTGGAGCTGATAAAATGTGCAGTGAGTGTAAATCCAAGTGGAAGTACCTAATGAAGTGGTCAGCCTGTGTACAATATAGTACAATAAACATTCATCACTGACTACTCAAAACCTCTACCTTTTACTTCCATTTGCTAGCAACTTTATTAGAAACTCCCACCTTGCACATCTACTCTCTGGCCACTTTATTGAAAACACTCACCTCATATTTCCTCTCACTGGCCACTTTATTAGAAGCACCTATCTTATGCGTCCACTCACTGGTTACTTTATGAGCTCCACCTCTCATAAGGGTTCATATGTAGTTGTACAATTGAGCCCCATTGGTAAGGACTTCAGGAGCTGCACTGAAGGCCTTAACACATTAGATTCAATTCAACATAATTAGGCAGTGACAGAGGAATCAACCATGTTTTGGGTGGAACCAGTTCAATGAGAAAAAAGCATCACTCTAGACCTTCTGGAAGTTCTAGATACATCATTGACTGTGAATACGAGCCGTAGTTTCACCAGGTTTTAGTCAGTTGTTCAGTCAATTGAGTGGCAGCAGCTCAAAGGGCTCTTTACTGAAGGACTCACTGTAAAACTGCTGAAATATATGTTGGTGTCTTTCACAAGCCTCAAATATCTGCATTTAATCTAGGAAGATGTTCATGTGAATCTGCTGGCTTAGCGCTAACGTAGTATTAGATATCCCATAGGGTCGCTAACAGAAATTAGCATTATTGTAGAGGAGGGTTTTTTGCTTTGTTTTTGACTGAGCGTTGACATTTATTGTCCGAACTGAAGGCCTAGATCTAATACTGCATTTGCATGTTGGCGCTAGATGGATGACAGCAAACTGGACATTCCATTTTTCCACCAGCCCCAGTCGGTGCGCTGACTGCAGAGGTAAGTGGAACGTTCCGTCAACATGTTCCCAACTTTGCCGTCGACTGCAGAGCTGGAATAAACCAGATGTTGAATTTTCTGGGAGCCATGAATGCCAAACGTCCAGGCGAACTTATTATTACAATAAAAAATAAGAGTACAATGTCCGCCTGACTTTTTCAACATTAATAAAACATTTTTTTACCTAAAATAAAAAATGCTGAAGCTCTCCACAGATGAGTTTTACGCTCATAATGCTGTTTGCATAGCTTCCTGCTGGCCTAGGTCACATACCGCTACTAGGTACAGAGCAATGGTTTTCAATGCCAACATGGAAACACAGTTCCCAAAGGCCCATGGTCACAGTTCGCCATTGGTTGACAGTGGTCCGCCACCCAAAAATATCCAGCCAAGAGCAGCTCTGTGGTCAGAAACTGACCATTGATGAAGGGTTAGATGATGACTAAACTCAAACTGTTCATCAACAGATGGGCTACAGTGTCTGAGCTACAAGGTAGGCGTTTCTAATAAAGTGGCCAGTGAGTGAACACGCCAAAACAAGTCAGGGAATGTTGCTCATTCGTGTGCTAAGAAACGTTTGCCTTGCGGCTGGTATCTCTGCCGTGTCTCACCACTGAATTCCACGCTACACTGCTTCAGAGAGCAAATAATAAAAGCGCATTTTTGTGTGGCCGGCATGGGCAGCCATGCGGAGAGCTCTTTGACCCAGCAGCCGGGCGAATGCCAGCACGTCACATTCATAAAGCAGACACCGTGAGCGGCCTCCAGGACTTTCACTCGAGAGAGAGAGAGAGAGAGTGATGGACAGACGGAGGGGGGAGAGGCGTAAAACAAATGGAAAAAGGGGGAACGTCACAGGTGTGTGAGGGAGGAGAGCAGAAGGAGGAAAGGAAGAACAGAAAGAGGGAAGAAGGGGTAGAGGAGGACACCTTTCTCGTCTCCCACGTTCATGGCCCATTCAGAGTGCTTGCAGTAGTAGTCGATGGCAGAGATGACACTGTCAGGATTTCCTTTAGTGGCGTTCTTCTGGACCGCTTTCAGCATCCGCTGTACGGAGCAAACAGCAGACTAATGAGGTTAGAAGTGAACCTGTGGATCAATCTGTGTTCGGAGGTGGACAGAGTAGCTTAAAACCAGCCTCAAGTAAATGAACAGGGGCCGTATTACACAAACGCCCTATCTTTTTGGCCTAACTTAAGATCTGATAAGATTTTAACTTAAGATTTTAAGTTAAGTTGAGCTTGATTTAGGAATCTTACAGCATCTTATGTCAAGTTAAAAAATCTTAACTCACTTGATTGAAGTCGACAATCAAATGTCATGTCTGTTACCTAGCAACCGACCATACCTGCCCAGCTGAAACCAGAGCCGGTTTATGAGGAGTCTGGCCACTTCCTATTTCCCCCGTTATATCAAAAACAGGACTGCTAAACAGCAGAGGGCGAGTCCTCAATGAATGAGAGTAAATGGCGCTTAACGGCTAAAAACGAAAAGTTAAAATAGTTTCTAATCACTCACCCAGAACCTTCCTTTAATCTTAGAAAGTAGATGGATGTATTTTACTAAAAAAAAAAACTAAGAAATCTTACCAATATATTTCCCTTTTTCTACAGCAAACAGGTTTTGGGCAGCAGAAGGCGGGCATTACTGCTAGAGCGTGCTGATTGTTTGGCGAGCTGAGCAGCTCATTGGCTGTTCGCGCTCACAGATGTCATGAATATACATGAGGTGTCGTTTTAAACTCCTATAACTCAAGTTTAAAAGCTCTTAAAAACATAACAGCGGTGTTAAAATGTTTTATGCTGCTCTGTTTTCAGGAAACGATTGTATTCTTTTACATTAAAAATGTTTAAGCAGTTATAAACTATGATTTTGCTCAAATGCTCCATATCAACCGAATCATTCTGGACTTGCTCGGGAGCGCCCTCTAGCGTTTGAGAAACCCGGAAGACATTACAGAGTGGGAATTCTCATCTCTACAAGTTCTCTGCTGAAACGTGAACACGTAATCAAAGTAGTCAAGCTAGTTAGCCAGGCAGCTAACGTTAGCAACCGTTACTGATGTACAAAAAAGGTCAAACAAAACTAAAGAGCGATAAACTGGAAGTGGAGAATATTGTGGCAGCACAGCTGTTTATCAGAGCGTCGCCTCCCTCCAGTTTCAGTTTCAGTTCCCAAAACACAGCCGAGCGTGCTAACGTTACTCCTCCTAATAAACAGACACACGTTCAGCTCTGTCTCCTCATTATTCACCACCATCACTGAAATATTTTATCTGACAACTTTTTATTTAACATTAACACACAAAGGTGATAAGAGGGATGGTGGAGATCGAGTCTGCAGTGTCTGGGGTTTTAAAATGCTGTTAGAAAAAAACCTCACAAGTCAAAACACGTTTTCAGTGTAGATAAATGCAACGTCATTATACTAGTCATAGTGAGCTATTCTGCCTGTTACTGCTCAAAACAATAGAAACAGACGGTTAAACAGAAGTTAAGACGGTCTGGGGTTCATCTTAAAGTTAGGACAGTGTTTAGGAAATTCTGTCTGGTTAGGATGTTTCTGTAAGACTGTTTTCTTATCTGGAGTTAATGGATAAGATTATGAACATAAGAACTGTTGTTCTGTAATAGCCTCTGTCTTACATGCAGTCCTAACTGAAGTTGTCATGGTAACTAAACAAATTAGATAAGATTTCAGACTTAAGACGTTTCTGTAATATGGCCTGTGTTACTTAAGTGAACTGATGACTCAAGTACAGGGGTGAAAACAAGTGTGAAGACCAGCATCAGCAGGCCAGTTTACAGTGATTCAAACATGAAAAATATTTCATTTTGACATTTATATTACATTATAAAACATTCATTTTGACATGAATATTAGCACAAAAAACAAATAGAATAATTATATCCTACATAAGAAGAAAAGAGATTCAGTTTTGCTGCCTTTCTTTATTATTGTTGTAGTATGTGGGTGAAGAAGGAGACACGGGAGGCCATGATTTCTGCTAAGAGAAGTGCTCTATATTTCCACCAGCAAAAAGTCACTCAAAGTCATGCGTTCTATTTTGAAAATATAATACAGATATAAAAAGGTAAAAAGATGGGGTGGAGTGCTGCTCTTAGAGAGCTACTGAGTAACTCAAATGTGCGAGCAGTTCATGCACAAATATCAATAAAAAGAAAATCGTCTGAGGTCACCTGAGGTCGCGTGGTCTGGGTGAACTTATCGCGGAGTCGCTCGATGATGAAGTCATTCCACATCAGCACCCAAAAAGCCGTCTTCTTCACAGCCGGGACGAACCACCACAACAGAGCAAACACAAGAGCGACTGTACCAACACATACCGTCAGACAACAGCACTCCATTCTGAGAGAGAGAGAGAGACGGGGGGTGGGGGGGAATAGGGAGGGAGAGAAAGAGAGGGGGAGAAGGAGAAGAAAGGAAGGCGGGGAGAGAGTGAACGAGGAAGGGAAAGAAAGAGAAAAGGAGAACGAAAGCGAGTGGGAGGGAGAGAGAGACAGAAAGAGGGAGGGAGGGGAGAGAGGAGAGATGAGAGAGACAAGAGAGATGGAGAGAAAAGAGGAAGAGTGAAAACGAAAGGGAGAAAGAGAGAGACAAAAAGTGAGAGAGATGAGAGACCAACAAAGAGAGACAAATAGAAAGAGAAGGAGGGAGGGAGAGAGAGAAGGAAGGAAGGAGGGGGCAGAAGAGAGGGGGGAGAAAGAGATGAAAGGAAAGCGAGGAGAGAAAGAGTGAGGGAGGGAAAGAAAGAGAAAAGGAGAACAAAAGTGAGTGTGAGTGGGAGGGAGAGAGAGACAAAGAGGGAGGGAGGTGAGAGAGGGACAGAAAAGAGAGGGAGAGTGAAAACACGTGAGGGACAAAGACAGAAACAAAAAGAACAAGACAGAGAGAAAAAGAGAGAGATGAGAGACCAACAAAAAGACAAGTGGACGGGGGGGTGGGGGGGTGGGAGAGAGGAGGGAGAGAGAGAAGAAAGGAAGGCAGGGAGAGAAAGTGAGTGAAGGAGGGAAAGAAAGAGAGAAAGGGAGAAGGAAAGTGAGTGGGAGGGAGAGAGAGACGGAAAGAGAGAGAGGGAGAGAGAGAGAGAGAGGGAGTGAGTGAGAGAGATGAGAGAGGGGAGAAAAGAGAGGGAGAGTGAAAACAAAGGAGGGAGAAAGACAGACAAAAAGAACAAGAGAGAAAAAGAGAGAGATGAGAGACCAACAATGAGACAAATGGACAGAGAGAGAGACAGACAGACAGAAAGAGAAGGAGAAGTGGGGACACGGAGAGAAAAAAGAGAGCGAGGGAGGGGTGAGAGAAAAAAGGAAGGCAGGGAGAGAGAGAGTGAAGGAGGGAAAGAAAGAGAGAATGGGAGAATGAAAGCAAATGTGAGTGGGAGGGAGAGAGAGATAAAAAAAGAGGGTGAGAGAGAAGAGAGAAACCAGAGAGAGGGAGTGAAGGAAAAAGATGAGAGAGGGAGAGAAAAGAGAGGAAGAGTGAAAACAAGAGAGGGAGAAAGAGAGACAAAAAGAATGAAAGAAAAAGTGAGAGAGATGAGAGACAAACAAAGAGAGAGAGAGAGAAAGAAAGAGAAGTAGGGACACAGGGAGAGAGAAAAAAAACAAAGAGAGAGAGAGAGGCGGGGGGGGCAGGGTAGGGTAGAGTGAGAGAGCTCAACAAAGAGAAAGAAGACAGGTGGAGAGAAAGGGAGACCCAGAGAGAGACAGATGGAGAGAGGGAGCCAGAGAGAAAGCAGAGGGAACAAAAACAGGTCAGTAATTCAAATTCAGCGCACCCCGCTCCCCTCGGCCTACTGCCCAGCGCTGATCCAGAACCTCCTCAGAGCGCAGAACCACGGCGTCACCCACAGAACGCTGTACAGTAGGATGACTGTCTGAGTGCTGTGTGAGACTCTGGCTCACCTTCTCTGTTCAGCAGGGACAGTGAACACAGCTCTGCCGCCTGGCGCTGATATTGGTTTTGCCTATCGGCTAAAAGAGGCCCTGGTGTGATGATCTTTGCACCCGAGGAGGCGTTGACCTTCAGACCGAGTTATTAATCAACCTGGCCAGTTGACCTGTGTAAATACTGGTCATAAAGTTTGGCCATCAGGCTTTACAACCACATCAACTGATCACGCATGAGCACTACAGCACAGGTTTAATCCAACATTGAAAAATCGAGCTTTAGTAAACATGAGGCCGAGAGAGAGAGAGAGAGAGACAGAGAGAGAGAGAGACAGAGAGAGAGAGGGACAGAGAGAGAGAGAGGGACAGAGAGAGAGAGAGAGAGAGAGAGAGAGAGACAGAGAGAGAGAGAGAGAGAGAAAGAGAGAGAGACAGAGAGAGAGAGAGGGACAGTGACAGAGAGACACACAGAGAGAGAGAGAGACAGAGAGAGAGAGAGAGAGAGACAGAGAGAGAGAGGGACAGAGAGAGAGAGGAAGAGAGAGAGACAGAGAGAGAGAGGGACAGAGAGAGAGAGAGAGACACACAGAGAGAGAGAGAGGGAAGAGTTAACAGAACCTGACTCCTGATCTCTCAGTGGGTACAAATGCCAAACTGCACCCCCTCTCTCACCCCCTCATTCTCTCTTCCCCTATTTCCATTTCTTTCTCTCTTCACCCTTCCCCCCCTCTCACTCCTCTTCTTTATTTACTCTTTTCTTACTGTCTCTCTCTTTCCCTTTTCTTTTTTCTCCCTTTCTTTCTTTCTTTCTTTCTCCCTTTCTCCTTCCATCCACCCTCTTTCTTTGCCCCATCCACTTCTTTCTTCTTTCTTTCTTTCTTTCTTTCTGTTATTTCCACCATTTCTTTCTCCTTCCCTTCTCTCTCCCCTTTTCTTCCTTCACTCTCTTTTTGTCCAACCCCTCTCTCTCTCTCCTTACTCCCCCCTTTTATTCTCTTTTTCTTTACCCTTCCTTTCTCTCTCCTTCCCCTTTTCTCTCTTTCTCCCTTTACCCTCCCCTCCTTTCTCTCTCTCTTTACTTCTCCTTCCCTTCTCCCTCTCTACCCTTCCTTCCCCTTCTCTCTCTCCTTACACTCCTTTCTCTCCTTCTCCTTCTCCATCCTTTCCCCCTTTCTTTCTCCTTCCCCTTCTATCTCTCTCCTTTTCTTCCTTCACTCTTTTTACTCAACTGTCTCTCTCCCCTTGCTTCCCTTTTTCATTCTCTTTACCCTTCTCTTTCTCTCTTTCTCTCCTTCCCCTTCTTCTCTCTTTCCCCTTCCCATTATTTTTCTCTCTATATATGCCTTGTCCCTTTTTTCTTTTTTTACCCATTCCCTCTCTCCCTTTCTTTCCCTTTCTCTCCCCCCTCTTCTCTTTACCTTTCCACTCTCTTTCTCTCATTCTCCTCTTCTCTTTCTCTTTCCCCTCTCTTTATCCAACCCATCTCTCTCTCCTTGCTTCCCCCTTTAATTTTCTCGTTCTCTTTACCTCTCCTTCCCTTTCTCCCTCTCTCTCCCCTTCCCATTCTTTTTCTCTCCCTTTTTACACCTCGTCCCTTTCTTCCTTTTTTTACCCATCCCTACTCTCTCCCTCTCTCCCTCTCTTTCTCTCATTCACCTTCTCTCTTTCTCCTTCCCCTCTCTCTCTTCCTATCTGTCTTTCTCAACACTATTTCTCCTTCCCTTTCTCCTCCCTGTCTGTCTGTTTTGCTGTCTCTCTAAATCTCTTTCCTATTCTTTTTCTCTTTCTCCTTCCCTCCCCCCTCTCTCCTTCTCTCTCTCTCTCTCTCTCTCTCTCTCCTCTCTCTCTCTCTTGTTTAATATAAACAGAGTGGACTAAGAAAATGTTAAGAGCTCTTCAGCGAGTTTTGAGTGTTGCTTCCTCAAAAGTGGTGCCAAATCCTTAAAACTCCAAGCTGCACTGTTAAAATCTGTCACCACGATGCTGTTCTCACCAGCTAATCACAAACACAACCGTCCACTTCCCCTCTGATGAATCAGCTATTTCAGAAACATGGCCCAAAAACATGGAAAAAAAGAGCTTATTTCACACTTAAGAACTGTTCTGGCACTCTGCCAGCTTTAATACTTGGAAACAGTACAGAGTCGAGTCTGGAGCAGCACAGCAACAAAGAAATACTTCAGTGGCAAGATTAGTGAACTACTGTACAGCTACATGACTCGCAGTTCACCGTCTGCTCGGCTTCCCTTTTGACTCCCGTTAGAAAAGCACCTTGTACCTGGAACAGTGTGTTCCAGCTCACATGACAGAGCTTTTTTTCCCAGATGCAGATTTAGCCCAGTCTTTCACCAGAAAGGATTTACTATAGAGAACTGGCACCGACTGAGCTCAAGACTGGGCACCATCTGCATCCAGAAGAGCAGATCCTCAAAAAAATAGCACTCTCACCATCACTTTATGTGTGTATAATGTTCAGAACCTGATCTGTAGAACAGGCTTCTTAAAACCAGCTGTTCAGAAGCAGAGTGTGTTCCACGCAGCGGCCCGTGTGTTATCACCTGCACAGAGCCGCTTCAGCTTTAATTAAAGATCCTATCGGTCCCGCGCCGCTGACGCCTACTGAGGGTCTAAAATCAGCTTTTATAGCTCTTTACTGCCTCTGTTCACTATTATAAAGAGCTAAAACCCATCAGGTGGATCTGGAGCTGCTTCAGCTCGAGTTAATCATTTTATACACATTAGTGCTGCATTTTGTCGCTGTCAGAACAAAACCTCATAACTTCGTAGGAGGAGAATTTTTTTTATTTTAATGAAAGTTAATATGACAAGCTTTTATTTTAAGCACATTTGGAACATTTCTATTGGTCCATTTAGCATAACATGTTCACACAATGTAAAGGGCAGCTGTTGTTATTAAATTATTACTAAAAATTGTTTTTTTTCGGCAGCAACAGTATGCTTCTGCAGAATTAAATAGATAGATAGATAGATAGATAGATAGATAGATAGATAGATAGATAGATAGATAAAAAATAAATTTACAAGTTTAAAAATAAATATGTAAAAATAAATAAATAAAATGAATACAAATCTGACTAAAAGTTTTCCTCAAAAAAGTAGTAAGCAAATTAAATATATGTAACTGAATAATATTTTTCCCAATATGTTTATTTGGCTAATAAACAGTAACTGCGTATTAAAATGTGCAGTAGTAGCCTGTCATTTGCCCGGGGGGGGGCACATATTTTTGCAGACGACAGTATATTTACTACATTTTGAAAAAAGGAGGAGCGCCGAGCCTGTTCACACACACACACACACACACACACACACACACACACTAATGAAGCAGGTTGTGTTGATGAGTGTGGAGGCGCGTTGTGGGTGCAGGCTGTGTTTTCTCCCCCCTACACTGACACCACGGTGGATTATAAGGGGCTGCTGATGTGCTGATGAGGCTCCACAGGGTTAAAGTAATGAGCTCTCCACACTTAAGCCTGCATGTTCACACTCTGAGCTTAAAGGCTGAACGGTTTGCGGAAAACATAGAATTGTGATTGTTTTAAGAACAATATTGTGGCTGCAGTTTAAATCGCCATTTTCTTCTACAAATTAAGGTCCAGGCCTGTTTGTTTGGTCAAGAACGCCAGCATATCAACTTTTCTAGCTTAAAAAAGAATTTCTTCAAAATCTCTGCATAATTCAGTCACTAGGATGTAACCAAAGACATTCAAAGTGGTTTGATATGAAATGGTTCATTGTAGAGATTTCTTTACAGTGGTGGTGATAGGAACCAGGGGTCACAATGTATACAAGGCAATTACAGCCATTTTATTTACTATCCAAAACCACCAGTGAACCCACATGTGTCTTCTGAGTATTTATATGTAGTGTTGATGATGGTGAAATAATGGCAAATCTGGAAAAATAAGTTTTTTGAGTTGGGAGGGGGGGGTATTTTGCCTTATGCTGGCTATGGTTGGATTTTATAGAATACTTTTTAGGTCAAAACCTTTCACTAGAACTCTTGTATATCAATGTCTCAGACATCAGGCAGAGTTTTCTAAATTATTTCATGTAATAACTTTCTGTGAGGGAGCTTTCAGAGTCATTAAACTCTTCAGACGTCTGGTTCCTATCACTACTATTGTGAAAAACTTTTCTCTAGAACAGAGCATTTCGCATCAAACCACTCTGAAAAACTTTGCCTCCATCTTACCCATTTGATTATACAGACAATTCTGAAAAATGGGTGGAATTCCCTTCTAAAGGTTTGAATGCCAGTTAGTTGTGGCTGTTTTATCATGTACACATCCTGTGTGTGTTTTGTTTCTTCTGATTGGTCTGAATCATCTTCAGGAAGTTCACAAGCTCAGTGTTCCTAGGTTAAATCTCTAGTTGAAACTGTGCCCGTGGTGACCAATGTTATCTGCAAAAGGGTGTGGCCACAGGTTTTCAAACAGGCAGAACCGCACCTGATTCACTTACTTAATCTGTTTGTCTCAGTCTTCAACAACAGATCCTGTTTTGTTGGACTTAAGACCTGCAGTCACACCGGTCCTTTGCAGATAAGACTGGACACCCCTGTTGTGGTCAATATTTAAAAGTGCAGCTCTCGCGATTTGAAAACTGCGATCTTTTAAAGTGCATTTCAACATAAAATGACTACCTTTTCAGTCCTAACAGCTTTGAGTCAAGTGCTAGTGTGGAAAGAGATGTGAAGGAATGTGAGGTGGGATAATATGGAGATATTTTCTTGTTATTGTGATCAATTATGCCACAAAATGCTCTCAGCATATCAAATACATCATCACAACTAAAGAGCACTAAACAGCTGCATTATTAGTCCTGGATTCAGTGCAGAGCAGTTTATGAAATGTTGAATAAAGATTATTGTACTTGTACATTTGGACTTATCGATACCTCAAAACTAAACATAGTGATACTAAACACAGTGATCAGTATCGTGAATCGAGAAAACGTCATGATATTATATTTCTGCCATATCGCCCACCTCTAACACATCCACAGTAAAGCACACATACAAATGCAGACCACCCAAAACCCACACATCTGCAGCGCACACATGAGAATAAAAGCACCCTCTGCATTTCCTATAAAGTCTTAATGCAAACAAAAAGTGTGTCAGACCAGAATGGACATGCTTACTTCCAGCTGCAGCAGTGTCCACACGCGCACTGGTCAGTTCCTCTTTCCCCTTCGACGCCTCAATGCCTTCTCTCAAAGTGCTTCTTTTAACGAGAGCACTCACTCCTCGTGTTCCTCTCTCTCTCTTTTTCTTTCTCTCGCTCACACTCCTTTCCTTCCTCCCTCCCTCTCTCTTTTTCTCACTCTCCCTCTCTCTCTCTCTCTCTATTTGCTCCTGTGTTGGTTCTCGTTGCCAGTTTGCCTTGATGTGAGCTGAATATGCAGCTGTAGGTCACAGTAACCCATGAGGAAGCCTCAGACACACACTCAGATACACAGGCATGAATTGTGCTCAGACACACACACACACACACATGTGCACCCCCCCTCCCCACCACACACACAGCATGGTTAAAGAGAAGGAGCTGAGCCAACTGGGCTGAGTTTTTAATCCCCCTTTAGCCAATCATGTCATAATCCTCCCTCCTCTTTCTTCCACCCCTTTCCACCTCTCTCTCTCTCTCTCTCTCGCTCTCTCTCTCTCTCTCTGTCTCTCTCTCTCGCTCTCTCTCTGTCTCTCTCTCTCTCTCTCTCTCTCTCTCTCGTCCCTCCCCTGGCCCTCCCCCTTCTTGCATGTACAGGCAGATAACGATGACGAATGGAATGTCTCTCCATTTAAACACATTCACAGGCCGCTCGAGAGCTTATGGCCACAAGCAAGGATTTCACAACAACACAGCAGCAGGCCAGAGAGAGGATTCCCTACAACACTGAGGGCTGGAGGCATTGTTATTATCATTATTACATTATTATTATTATTATTATTATTACTATCCTCAGTAGTAGTAATAGCAGCAGTAGTGGTAGGAGAAGCAGTAATAATAGTAGTGATAATAGTTTTATTAGTAGTAGTAGTAATAATTATATTATTACTATTATCATGGATGGTAATATAGAAGTGGAATTAGTATTAGTATCAGTGGTAACCAGAGAACTTGGAGGATAATATCCACCCTGTAATGTCTTCCGGGTTTCTCAAATGCTAGAGGGCGCTCCTGAGCAAGCCCAAAATGAATGGGTTAAGATGGAGCATTTGAGCAAAATCAAAATTTATAAATGCTTAAACATTTTTAAGATAAAAGAATACATTCATGTCCTGAACACAGAACAGCTAAAAACATTTTAACACCGCTGGTATATATTTTAAACACTTTTGAACTCGAATTAGAGAAGTTTAAAACAGTCCATGACGTTGGTGAGTGTAAACAGCCAATAAGCTGCTCCATTCGCCAACCAATCAGCACTCATTAGCAGTAATGCTAGCGCTGTACTGCTCAAAATCCATTTGCTCTAGAAAAAAGGAAACATACAGGTACGTTTTCTTTGCTTTCTTAGTGAAATACATCCATTTTCTAAGATTAAAGGAAAGTTCTGGGCGAGTGATTAGAAACTACTTTAGAAATTTTCATGTTTAGCCGTTGAGCTCCATTGACTCCCATTCATCAAGAAGTCGCTCTCGTGCGCCCTCTGCATTTTGCAGTCATGTTTTTGATATAACGAGGGAAACAGGAAGTGGCGAGCCTCCTCATAAACCGGCTCTGGTGGTAACGCTTTACAATAAGAGTACATTAATTAACAACACTTTAGAAAGTATAAAAATAAACAGTTAATTAATGTAGCAATTAATCATTAAATAATGATACAAATAAGAATTATTTTAGATTTTATTATGTAGTTTATAATCATTGCTGGATGGTTAAGTAATATCTTAATTAATCATTACTGATAGTAATAATCACTAGTATATTGTTTTAGAATTTATTAGGTAGTTTATTAATGTGACTGAACAATTGGTGCAGCAAGAACTAAGCACTAATGAACAATTTATTGAAGTCTCTGATAATGTCAATTAAAGTTTTAATTAATATATTATAACTAAACCATTCACAAAAAAAAACTTTTAGGACAAACACTACAATTGAACCATCACCATCAAATAAGCCATTAATTAAAATCTTATGTTAACATTAGTGTTGTTTGAATATTGATTAAGGTAAGAACTGAAATACTTGATAAACAGTGACAGGAAGTCAGATAGATGTATAATTCAGTTGCCTAACCTGCTGCTGGAGGATTCCTGCCCTGCATGCTCAGGTGTTTCACTGTTCCAGCTAATCAGGGCCCAGTTTCCCAGAAGATCTTAGTGTTAAGATCATCTTAACTGGTAGAGAGAGTGTACAGTGTAATGCTCGCTCTACCATTTAACAATCATCTATGTGCTAAGATAAGATAAGAGTTCCTGGTAAAGGCTGAGATCTTTGGACAGCTCCATGGTCTTCATAGATGCTTGCTATTACTGTTCTCTTTAATGTCATACACACACACACACACACACACACACACATATATATATATATATTATATATATATATATATATATGTATATATATGTAACCATTTAGTAATAATCATAAACTACTTAATAAAATCTAAAATAATATTAGTTCTTATTTTTATCATTACTGAATGATTAGTCACCAGATCTAATCATTTCACTTAATCGTTAGTAATGCTTATTACTCTCTTAAGTACTGTTAATTACTGTGCTCTTATGGTAAAATTATTACTGTACTGGTAGTGATACCAGTGGTAATACTAGTAATAATAGTAATAGTAGCAGAAATAACAGTAGTGGTAATATACTATCAGTAACAGAATAGCAGTAGTAGTAATATTAGTAATAGTTGTAGAAATAATAGTAGTGGTAATACTATTAGAAATAGAATATGTATGGATAATAGTATATGTAGTATACAGTCATGGTAATACCAACAGTAATAGCAATAGTAATAGTAGTAGTAATAGTAGTGGTGATACTATTAGAAATAGAAATAATAGTAGTGGTAATACTATTAGTAATAGTAGTAGTAGTAACAGTCATGGTAATACCAACAGTAATAGCAATAGTAATAGTAGTAGTAATAGTAGTGGTGATACTATTAGTAACAGTAGTAGTAGTAACAGTAGTGGTAATACTATCAGTAATAGCAATAGTAATAGTAGTAATAGTAGTGGTAATACTATTAGTAAAAGTAGTATAAATAACAGTTGTGGTAATACTATTAGTAATAGCGATAGTAATAGTAATAATAGTGGTAAGACTATGAGTAATAGTAGTAATAGTATTGGTAATGCTATTAGTATTAGTATACATAGTAGCAATAGTCATAGTAATAATATTATTATTAGTAGTATTGGTAGTAATAGTAGTCCTAATACTATTAGTATTAGTAATAGTAGTGGTAATACAATTAAGTAGTAGAAACAACGGTAGTGGTAATGCTGTCAGTGATAGTGATAGTAGTAGTAACAGTAGTGGTAATACTAATAGTAGGCCTAATAATAGTGATAATGATGCAGTGATAATAATGCTTATAAGCACTGAATCTAGGCCGATTATAGAAGGATTTTAGTAAAGCTGGAGATTCTGGGTGTCCTGAAATGGTCGAGACATAACAATGACACACTGACCTATGAGAGACACACAGGCAGATGCTGAGAGAGAGACAGGGCAGAGAGAGAGACAGACAGAGAGAAAGAAAGGCTGAGAGGTTGCAGGTACTGTATGTTTTCCCCTCACTTTCTGCCATCCTCAATCTGCATCACAAACTGCAGCATTCTTCTGTTAAGTAGAAGCAGACACGGTCAGATTTATACTCCAACATGCAATAAAACTCCACTCTGCACTACTCTCCAAGGCCATAGCTGGTTGTAGTAGTACTAATACTACTTCTATAACAATATTTTAACATTATTAGTATAATTTACATCACAATATGCTTTTCTGAGCTTATTATAGAAACTGTTAATACTTACAGAACAGTAATCAACTGCATGTTTCATTAGAGACCATATTTAATATTCAGCACATTAAATAATGTACTCAGTATTTTTAATGTGGCTCGGTTGTAGTGTTTTCGTGACCCATCAAACCTCAGAAAAACCAAGTACTGTGATTTCTAACGTGAAAATGTCCACAAGTATTGTGGTACTGTGCTACGACTACTGCTGACAGTGTGAAAATGATCCCAGCCAGAACCAGAAGAGGCTCAGTGAAGGCAATGGACATGAGAAATGACCAATTCTCTGCCTTACTGAACAGTGGCTACTGCTGGCCCACTAAGGAACTTCCCCACATTATCATTAATTAAGCCAAGGTCGGATATATGTACTTGGACTTGCCAACAGCTAATGTTACATTTAATTAAGGTCACTTGCACTTTGTCTCTCCACACTGACCACGCTTCTGCTTGCTTGTATGACACACAGCAGGTATGGAGTTTTTTTTTTTATAATGTAAAATGTAAAAAAGTAAATAAAATTCTACTACATTTATATTTTCTTAACCATTTTAATACTTTTTCATTAAGAAAAACTGTTAATTTTAAAGTTTTCAAGGGAAAACAATTTTTCTGTAGTATTTCTATCTGCTTTTTTTATTTTATTTTATTTTTTCTCTTTTTCTTCTTTTTGGCAACTATTATTCTTCAAGACCACTGCGAGTAACATTCCATCTCATTCTCTGGAACAGCATGTCGTGGAGAATGCAGTAAAAAGCATAATAAAGTGCACAAAAGACGTGCTCCAGGCTCACACTCGGGGAGAGAGACATAAAGAAAGAGAGAGAGAGAGAGAGAGAGAGAGAGAGAGAGAGAGAGAGAGAGAGAGAGAGAGCTGCTGGGGGCTCTAGTGAGTGCATGCCAGAGCTGTGAGTCACTCAGGGGCTCCACTGGCCTGCTTTTGACACATACAGTCACAAATACTCTCTCTCTCTCTCTCTCTCTCTCTCTCTCTCTCTCTCTCTCTCTCTCTCTCATCACAGTTCTATCCTCTCTCTCTGCACTCTTTGTAGGTCTTTCCAGGTTGGCTCTCCCCTCTTTGCACCCCCCCCCGTCCACCCTCATTCAGCGGCCACATGGTGAAGTGAATCCGAATAAAATCATTTATTTCATGCATCTTGCATAACTACGCATGCTTTCAATATCACAGCAAACTCAATGAACTGACCTCTCTATTGACACACATGCACACGCACGTTAAATGTTGGCCAAAGTCAGCCAATGGCAGAGCGACCAGGCCTCCACGCTCAAAAATAAAATGAATAAAAACTCTCCAAACACGAATAAGTTTCATTTTCTGTATCGCAGCTCACCTCCTGATAATAACCTGGGCAGGACGAGGTACAAGCCGGCCTCGCTATTGGTTCGCTGCGAGGAGAATTTTGGTTATATAGGAATCTCGCCGCCTCTCCCCTGAGCATTCAGCCAGAATGGTACAGTCTGACTTGGTTGAATGGAATTTGGGTCAGCCCACTGCGCGCCAGTTCCACTTTAATAGGGGGGGACGCGTCGCCTTCTTAGGCCTGTATAGTACTGTGGCGTTCAGCGGCGTTGTGGTAAACATCCCGGGTTAAAAGCTAAGACTGCGCGCAGTCTCCAGAATGTAAGAACTCGCTGTGTTAATTGGTGTTTAAGGCCAACAAGTGACCGAGTCGGGTCCCCACCTCTCCGGCTGGCCCGAGTGAGTGACTCCGGATCTATTCGCAGAAGCCCCGGACCGACTGCTCCGGATTTGGCCAAGCGCAGAAGAACAGCTGCTGCTCTGAAGGTTTTCGTGTTTTCTGGAGAGGGCTATAGCTGGTCATGCTGCGCGCTGGGAGGGATTCGGTGCGCTCCCCAAGGCACTGAGAGCCATGGCCGAGGACTACTGGGAGCACACGGTGGCTTTGGGACATTGCTAAGATTACAAGGGCACGACGGGATCTCGTCCACAGGGTAAGAGAGCGCCAGCAGCCCGGACTAGGCTGAAGCCAGCTTCTTGTGCGAATTTTCCCGTTCCACCTTAAGTGTTGCAACATGGAACTTCTGCACTGTTTAAGGTGGAACGGGAAGATTCGAACAAGAACCTGGCGAATAGGAAACCAACTTCAGCCCGGGACATTTTTCACCATATGTTGGGGGGGGGGTTTAGATTAAGACACAAAATGTTAGCTAACACTGTTGATTTTGCCCAGGTCGGATATGCCTGTGCCATGTTGCTGATCATGACCACTTAAGAAAACAAATCTGGATCTATCTCGCTTTGCTCTGATTGGCACGGAAAGCTTTACCTATTATTCGAGCATGCATGTTTGTATGCAAGTGTGCGACTCTGTATTAGGGGAGATCAATCAGTGAAAGGGAATGCATGCATTGGCTGCTTTGGCATTGCAATGCATGGCTGCAAATCAGTAAGGCAGCAGCGGCAACGCAAAGCCAACGGATTGGGCACGGCAGGACAGGACAGATCACTGTGCTAACACTTTAGCTCGTACTAATTCCCCTCAACCAGCTGGCTATAACTGGAAGCTGTTAGCTGGATTGACCAGAGCAGAAAGGCACGAGCTGTTGGAGTGGAAATGAGCGCGTGCTTGGGGTTGCATCAAACGCTGTGGCCCTGCTGGAGCTCGCTTTCTGCGTTGTCCAGCTACGCAAGGGGGGTGTGGATGGTCATTATTGCCTACACGCACTGGACAGTGCATTTAAGCAACGCATTGGTGTGCTGGAATGACTGGAAATGCACCACTGAGTGATCTGCATAATACTGACCCTTGCAATAGCAGTGCAGTGAGTGGGCAATTAGAGAGGCTCCTACGAACAATTCATGATGCAGTGAATGTGTCCTCAGGCTCAGCTCAGTGCTCATGGAGATCCCCTGCACTGCACACTGTAGTGTTTCTAGCTCAGACCCAGTTTAACTCGTTGGATCATTTCCAGTCCTTTTTATGAGTTGGACTGGATGTTCTGGAGCAGGGAGAGCACTAAACTGTATGGCTGGACAGTGGAGGAGGACCCCCGGAGCAGGATTTGGAACAGAAAGCTGGCCTTTAATCCAACTTCTAAATCTCTCAGCTAGGGGTGGGCAATATGACGATGTTTATCATTATCATTAGTGATATATATAATCATATCTGTATGGGCAGATATTTGCTTAAAAATATCTGACACATTTAGAGCTGACCGATATTTCAGATTAATATCCGATGATGTGTTTGTTGTGCTGGAAGAGCAGAATGTTCAGGTGATGCTGGGCTGTTACGCTAAAATATCTGGCACCCTATAAACGCTTAAAAAGATGGTTCTTCAAACAAATAAAGTAAAGACAGCGGTTCTATTTAGAACCATGAATTCTGTGTGGAGCCATTTCAACCTTAAATGGTTCTTTGCATGTGAAATGGTTCTTCAGATGGATGGAGAATATGTTGTATGGGGTTCTGTATGTAAGCTCTTCGAAAATGGTTCTTTGTAACACCAAAAAGGGTTCTTCTATTGTTACGATGTCAAACTTGTAATAATAGTAGAGCGCTTTTTGGTGCTATATAGGACGGTTTTCAAAAAGGATCTATATAGAACCCATTTCAACACATTCTCCCTCAATCTGAAGAACACTTTCACAATGCAAAGAAGTCTTCAACCTTGCAAAGGGTTCTTTGAGTGTTCATGGTTCTATGTAGAACCATTTTCTTTACTAAAGAACCCTTGAAGAATCATCATTTTTAAGTGTGTAGGTTCGTTTTTCTCGGTTCCAGCTGTCTGAAAAAATATCGTGACATATCGTGAATCGTGAAAATTTCTTGAAGTATCATGATATTATATTTTTACCATATCGCCCACCTCTACAACACACTCTCTATCAATCTAAGAACGATTTAATCATGCAAAGAAGTATTTAAGCATGCAGGTGGTTCTTTGGGTGTTCATAGTTCTTAATAGAACCATTATATTTACTAAAGAACCCTTGAAGAACCATCTTTTTTAAATGTTTACAGAAAATGCTTTATTTCTCTGTAATGCTATTGAGTGTTGCAGTTACGCAGTATTTATGTATCAACAGCAGATATGAACCTGAAAAAATACCAACAATTCCCATATCAAACCCTGAGTTATAGTGATTGAGTTACATCCCATCATGCTTTTCTGAGCGTATCATGTACATTATCGGTACCTAAAGAACACTAAACGACTGTATGGCTCATTACAATGAGAGTGTAATTAGTCCTGTTTAACTGGATTCAGTTCAGATCAATGTGTGAAACGATGACTGAAAGTCACTGTAGGGGAGAGAGCGGGGTTGGTTGGTCCCAACATAGCCTGTGTTAGGGGGATGGTTTGCACAATGTTAAAAAGCTTTTCAATGAATAAAGCAACAAATACATAACTGAGCTTTTAAGTTAAACCAAAACACAAACAAAAACATTTAAATGACATTTTTATCACAATTTATTATATTTACTGAATTAAATATTGTTGCATTGAAAATATATATATATATATATATATATATATATATAAAATAAATAGTCAGCTAAAATAAAATGTAAGTTAAATATTTTCAAATGAATAAATAATAATTAAAAAATAATCTTTGGTTCTAATTTAAGATTATTTTCAAGTTTATTTCCATCTTGATATATTATAAACAGTGATTATAATACAGCACTGCGTTCTTGTTGTGTTTGTTAGTATGCTATGCAGCATGTAATATAAAATGTTTGTGACAGTAGCCGTACACTTGGACAGGCTGAAACATGTGGCAGCTAGCCCCAACCAATCCACCCACACCAGGATGCATCTCTGTTTACTTTATATCAGCTAGCTAGCAGTACTAAGCATTGGCTTTTAATTCGTATACCAAAATGTGGCTGATTGCCATTTCTATTATAGGGGAATTCCACCAGGTTTTTAAAGTTTCTGCATAATTCAGTCATTAAGATGTAAACAAAGTCATCAGAAATGTTAACAGTGGTAGTGATGGGAACCAGATATCTGAAGTGTTTCTTAAAGCCTCCTCAAAAAGGTGTGATGGTTATGAATACATTGTCTGATGTCTGTGACTTTTTATGTTTTATGATAGTTTTAAAGGTTTTGGCTTAAAACATTTTTTAAAAGACATAAATGGGGGAGAAACACATACAGCAGAAATAAAACATTGGTGGAATTTTCTTTAACTAAAATTAATACATTTTTAATATCTCTTTTTGAAGCATTTCTATAATTTACTCAGGGACACATGGAAACATATAATTACCTAAAATGTCTTTGCATGCTGTAGCATTAGCATTACCCTTCACTGGAACCAAGGGGCCCAAACCCTGAAAAAAACAGACCATTATCCCTCCTCCACCAAACTTTACTGGTGACACTATGCATTCCGGTAGATAGCGTTCTCCTGGCATTGACCAAACCCAGATTTGTCCATCAGACTGTCAGATAGTGAGGCTGATTCATCACTCCAGAGAAACATTTCCACTGCTCTAAAGTCCAGTGTCGGCGTGCTTTACACCACTTCAGCTGACTCTGGCATTGCGTATAGTAATCTTAGGCTTGTGTGCAGCTGCCCGGCCAAGGAAACCCATTTTGTGAAGCTCCTGATGCACAGTTCTTGTGCTGATGCTGTGTCTAGAAGGAGTTTGGAACAGTGAGTGATGCAGCAGAGTATGGCCAGTTTTTATGCGCTACGTGCTTCATCATTCACCAGCCCCACTCTTTGGGTTTGCGTGATCTACTGCTTCAAAATTGAGCTGTTATTTCTCCTATGCACTTCCATTTCACAATAAAAAGCACTTGCAGTTGACAGAGGCAGATCTAGCCAGGCAGAAATTTCATGGACTGCAAAGGCAGCATCTTAAGACAGCGCCACATTTAAAGCCACTGAGCTCTTCAGTACGACCCATTCTACTGCCTGCATTTGTTTGGAGATTGTATAACTAAGTGCTTGGATTTTTTTCATAAACCTGTCAGCAATGGATGCGGCTCAAACACCTGAACCCCATAATTAGAAAGTGTGTCCACATACTTTTGGCCATGTAGTGTATTTTTGCATTGTTGCCCACCCTTACTCTCTGCCAGGTGTAGACGGCAAAGATGCGGTCATGATTTGTCTGGTGCGTCCAGTGAACGAAGGCTCGAGTTAATGGATCCAGAAACACGGAAGTGCAAAGCAAACCTGACATGCTTGTTTAAAATGGTTTGATACATCAGGATGTATCACTCATGCGTGTAGTATGTTTGAGTCACCGGACGCCTTCATCGTTTATGAGATGGCGAAGGCAGACAGATGTCACCGAGGCCTCCTCTGACTCAACATCGCATCTGATGAGTGGGTGGCCTATGAAGGAGGCGTAGGCGAGGAAAAGGAGGTTAAAAACAGGGCTGCTGTAAGAGCTTCACTACATAGAGACTGTGGTATCTTGACTGAATGTCCATAAACACCAGAGGACGTGATATCAGTATGGTAGCCCACATCGGTCGGACTAATGAGGCACTGGAGCACCTTCTCAATAATTTATTACAGGATCTTATAATTAGCCTGTTGACTGATGTGAAGAAGACTACTTAAGATTCTGCTGCATTGGGGGGAAGTGGGGGGGGGTATCTTACATCTTTGAATTTATAGAAGAAAGCAGAAAGACTCCAAGTATCACACGCTGTATAGCTTTATTCCCTTACAGCTATGTTGTGTTATTCACATCACTGTGGAATCTGTGACGGTTACAATCGTGACTAAAATGAAACAAACCTCCAAAAAGGCATGCAGTGTCACTGTAGGCTGGATTAGACTGAAACCAGAAGGAGACTTGGATGGATTTGGCTGTGCACTGAAGAAGGCACCACTCTCTCATACACATTTACCCAAATCTGTGAGCTGTAAGTACAGTTTGACACTACTTATGTAATCCCCTCCATGGCTTACGATGTGTAGCAGGGATGCAGTTCCTGAGGGCTGGTTACTGCAG